GCATATGCCAAGATTCCACTGAGCATTTTGACACCAAAATCATCAAAATCTCCCATGGGAATTTTTTAAAACTCTGAAACGAAACTGCAAAAGTCATCCCAGAAGCCTGAGCTCACTGCTTGCTCAGGCAATAAATTATTTTTAGATAGAATCTGCCAATGTTTTATTTTCAGAAATTTCCAGAAAACTAAACTTTCAACTATTATTATAATAAATGATTTATTTTTATAGGAAATCCTTGTCAGTTCAAAATTCAAGGGATAAAATAATCATGACTTTGAATTATCTAAAATTTACATATATCTGTACAATATGACAAATGTGACATAGCTGATATAATTTATTAAGCAAACAGAATACAAATATAGCTATATACACAGAATGCTATTTTTGTTAATTAATTAATTAATTAATTAATAATGATAATAATATAAGTGTAAAGGTAAACAGCATGTGTCCAGTGAGAACTCACAGGTTGCCAGATAGGTTTTATAAAGTATAATTCCTCAAAATGAAGCTCAAATTATATTTTAAAAGGCCCAAAAAAGTAGTAAGTCATCCAAATGTAGTAGCTCAGAGTGCTACAAATAGCTTAATCTATTACTTGTAGCCCAATCTTGCAATACCAAAAATCAGCTGTATTTTATGAGATAAGAGAATAAAGGGTGACACCCAAAAATGTGTTATTGTAAAAGCAAAGCCATATTAACCAGTTTAGAGTTGTTCTTAGTATCAATATATTGCTCTCTTACAGTGTGGAGCACTTCAATCTAAATGAATAAGTTAACATATGCATATCACAGTTTGGACAGAATTTTCACTTCAAATTTTGAAGTAGCCATATTTCAAACAAACCAAATTCCTTAATGTGTAAATCTCTATATCCTTGTCTGGGACAAAAGTACAGTTACAAACTAACAGGACTTCAAACTATCCAAGTTCGAATTATGACAATTTCCTGTTTATGTTAAAAATCACTCAGTCAATTTCTTTATCAGTTATAAATTTATTCTATATTATTGTTTACTCTAAAAACAATAATAATAATATATTTGAAAAAGGACAGATAGACGGATGAAAGTGGGAATTTATAGTTCTACAATTTTTTCAAATTGCAGCCCAATATTGGAAATTTAGCTTAGAGTTTAGAGAATTTTTTCTGTAGAAATGAAAAAAAAAATCTAATCCTGTCTTTAATTTATCAATTACATAAATCAAAATTAACATTTTTAAAACAATTTACATTAAACAATTGGAACACAGAACAAANGCCAATGCATACAACGTAGTATATGAAAGTTTATATATATATACCTTGATAATACTGTACAAGGTATCAACACAGACCATTCGAACTGGTCACAATTTTGCCTAGTATGGGTAGCCTGACACCCACTCACAACAGGCAAAATTACAGGCCCTAGTTGATACCTCACTTTCCTTATACATAGCTATTTAATATGTATTTTTATGTAATGATTTAGATAAATTAGGACAAACTGTTCTCTCTCAAATTTTAGCATATTTTGTATGGAGTATAGTGCAAACATTATCTACACTACAAAAATTATAGGTACATTCTGTCAAATAAATACCAGAAATTGTCCATTTCAAAAGCCTGTGTAAAAGATATGAAAACAAACTTTTTGCTGTAAGTTGGTACTAGTGTGCTTAATTGTCACGTGAATTTGTAGCACCATCTGTCGACCAGTTTATTTACAACTATTGGTTTCATCACTGAATGTGAAGTGTGCTTTTACAATTTTTAAAATGGACAAAAATATTGAACAAAGAGTTTGTCTAAAATTTTCTGTTGCCAACAAAATTTTACCCAAAACAATCCAAAGATCAGCTTTATCCAAAAGATGTGCATATGAGTGGTGCAAAACATTGAAAAATGGCCGAGAAGTGATGGAAGACTTGCCTCATTCTGCTTGACTTTCAACATCTTCAAGTGACGAAAACATCAACAAAGTGAAGGAAATGACGATGAAAAATCATCATTCAAGCTTGAGAGAGATGGCTCAGAATCTGAATAGGTCTCATGAATCCATCTGTACCATTTTAGTTGATGTTTTGGGTATGAGATGTGTCATAGCATGACTTGTTCCGAAGGAGATGAATTTTCTTCAAAAAGAGCACCGGAAAAAGGTTGCTGAAGACATGATTGAACAAGCCAATTTGGACCCTACATTCATGAAACACATCATAATAGGTAATGAGATGTTGGTTTATGAGTTTGATATGCAAATCAGCCAACAATCTTCAGAATGGTGCTTCGAGAATGCACTGAAACCGAAAAAACCACATCAAAGTCATGTTGACTGTTTTCTCTGACTGTTATGGTGTTGTCCACTTGGAATTTCTTCCAGAGGGACAAACGAACAAACAGCCAATAAACAATATTACCTGGGTGTTTTGAGGCATTTGAGAGACAATGTTTGCCGGAAAAGGCCAAATTTGTGGAAGAACAATTTTTGGATGTTGCATCACAATAACACACCATCTCACATAACCCTTGTATGAAAAATTTTAACCAAAAACTCAGCGAATGTCATTGATCAAGCACCATATTCACCAGATATGGCCCTGTGTAGCTTTTCCTCTTCCCTAAACTCAAATTACCACTTCATGGAAGACATTTTGAGTTGAATGAAGAAATAAAACAAAATTTGCAGAGGGAGCTGAGAGAGAAATTTGCAGAAAGTGCTTATAAGAATTGTTTTTATGACTGGATTATTCGTTGGCAGAAGTATTTTGCATCAAACAAAGCCTATTTTGAAGGCAACAAAATAAATTTGGATGATTAAACCAATATTTAGTATTTTATTTAACAATTCCCAGTATTTATTTGACACAATGTAACTTGTATCAGTACTGCAATATTTTTCTATATACATTATAGGGATTAATTATATCATTATATAATAAAAAGGGTTGGGAGTTAATAAGTGTTGTATAACTGAGAACATTCTTCAGTTTCAGTAACTCATACTACAGTTTCCAAGTCTATTCATATAATATTAATTTAGGCTTCATTTCATAGCTTTTATTGGAAGAAAGACTTCCTGGACCAACTAATGAACTAACTTCATGAACTAACTAATACAAAGTAATTCAAAAGGATTGTTCTAATTTTACACAGCTACTGTAAGCAGAGTAATACCAATGAAAAGTCTAATCTTTATTTGATAATAGAGTAACCCTCCAAGTTTCAGACATATTTTACACAAACTCAATGTGTGTGTCTCTTTTGTGATGTGGAACACTTCTAACCAATAATCCAACTCCTCCCATATTCATTGCAAAAATCCATAGTGACAGAAGCAATTGCTTTATGTATGAATATCTTCATCTCTGGTATACTTCTTGGAAAATGAGGGATATACTGTACACTATCTTTGTTGGAGCCCCCCAATGACAGTCATAGGCCATAAGGCCTGGCAATCAGAACAGCCATTTGAGAGGCAAATCACTGGCTGAAGCCATGCACTTGGAATAGTAGTTGTCAGAATCAGTCAATTTGTTAACATATCCAGATAAGTTCCACTTATAATCATAGTTCTTAAAAAAAAAAAAAAAAAAGGGTCNGGGGTCGGAAATCGCAATAAAATATTGAATTTTTTAAAAATATTTAAAAATTTCTGTGTCGCTTATAGTCACCCTACTTTAAACCCTTGTCCTCCCGAGACGTCTATGAGAATGTCCCGGGAAATCCGACTCCAGCTGTGTTCAAGGTCACCCAGCTGTGTAAACAATGACTCATTGGTGTTACATTTCACAGACAGGCGAAACAAAGGAAAATAAAATTTAAAGCTTTTTCTTCAAAATAAACGCATTTCTTTCGTTTTTTTTCTGTTTTAAGTATTTTTTACGTTTAATTGAAATCTATATTAAAAATGTCAATGTCCTTAAGGAGTTAAAAATATGCTAATAATTTCTATTTCTTTACTTTTTCAGTAATTTAGCAAATGTTCAAAGAGATGTCCATTTTCATCAAAACATTTCCTTAACAAAGTCTTGCCAAAAATGGACTGCAACATTTCTGGCGTTATTTTAGCACATGCATTGCTTATTCTTTACTTCATATCATGGTTGATTGTTGAAACAAAACTTGATCCTTCATGAAACCTCACAGGAAATAATCAATTGGTGTCAAATCTGATAAACTGAGTGGCCATGAAATTGGTCCTCCATGTCCAATCCATCATACTCTAAACATGTCATTTAAATTCACTTTAAACATTAATTCAGAAATGAGTATTGCTTTTGAATCGTACTAAAAACTGATTAATACTTAACCATTAACAAATATTTTTCTTTTCCTTTATTCTATTAGTTGAAGAAGCCAAACTTGTTGAAAATTATCAGAAACATTTTTGACTCAATTGAGTTGAAAACATTGCCAATAATTCTCAACAAGTTTGGCTTTTCTCAACTATTAGAATAAAGAAGAATAAAGGTATTAACTATGGTGCCAAGTTTTACAAATAGTAAACATTAATAATTTTGAAATCTGTTTTAATTAATTAGCTCATAAAAAGTTGAGTTTTATTAGACTGTTACCTTTCAAGATGTACAAACACACACATTTATAACTTTTAAAATTACAATATTTTTTTAAATGTTCTTAATAAAAGATTATTATTTTTAATAGAATCCAAAATACAAAAAAGTTGGAGGATTTATTTGAAATTTTAAAGTTGCTCCACCTCACCCTGAATGGAGATGAGAGAAGTTTTATTTTTACAGCATTAAAAGACCCCTTAAAAACATTAAACTTTTATTCTTATCAATTTTTTTTTATTAGAAACATATTTTCAAGCTAATAACTTGTAACACCTTATGTGAAATACCCCATATATTACTTTGTTAGCAATTCCAATATAAGCAAACTATTATAAGAAAAATCATTTTGCATATCAACCTATAAGAAACAGTCTCAGTAATATATGATATGGCTCCTAAGATCTAAATGGGACTACTAAATAACATTTTAAATTTGTAACTACAATTTAAAACATGTTATATTGAATAATTAGAATAAAAATTTGCAATATTTGTAAGATGCTTTGTTTCATGTAAATATGACTTAAAAAGTAAGAAAGACTTACCATTTTTCCAGGGGGAACTTCTTTCAAAGTACCATACATGCAAACTGAACTTTCTGTTGAAAGTAATAATGCATCATACGTTTGACACTAAATTTTAAAAAATATATTAAATAATTAAAATATGTTTATATATATGAGAGAATTAATTTTTTATTAGTGATATTTAATATTTTAAACATTTTTAATATAATAAAAAATAAAAACACCACATCACACAGTCATACTTATTCTATTCACATCTATAAAGAAGTTTGTATGTACAATAGAACCTCGATTATCCGAATTTTCGATTATCTGGATTGTTCAAAATAAACAAAAATTTTACGAATTTGCTGATTTGCACTTGGCAAATTGCGATACTGTTTATGTACGTGATGGAATGCGTAACTTTTTTTGTTCCAACAATGTCTCACCCGGCACAGTGGTTGTAAACTTTTTAATACATTTTGTGTCATAATAATATATAACTTGACATACATATTTATAAATAATTTATATTGAAATTACATCATTTCTAAGGTCAAGGGCAGCGTAAGGCATGGATGATGTGGGCCACCGCCTACGGCCTTGCGCCTCGAAGGTTTATGCATTACTCAAAAGCCATGAACGCAACAAAATTTTACTCATCATAAAATGATAGTTTCCATTTTTATGAATAAAAATGTGAGTTTCAACTGCTTTTTACTGTATTTTATAAAATCCATCTTCTTGCGCCACCAGAGGACCTTTAAACAATAGGCAGTCTGTTAGTACCAGTCAGTAGTAGTCCAAATTCAATACAAATGTTTGTTTCTTGAAAATTTGATCACGATTTAAATACAGTATTTATTTTTAATACTACCGATATGTCATCAAAAAGAAAACGTGTTGTATTATCATTAAAGACAAATTGGATATAATCAATGCTTTGAAATGCAGTGAGTCTGGACATTCACTATCTAATAAATATGGTGTTGGAATGTCAACGATCTCAGATATAAAAAAACAAAGTGAAAAAATTATGAAGTTAAACAATAATTGAATTTCTTAATAAAAAATAATTTAATATTGAAGCTACAGTAAATGTAAATCTAGACAAATAAAAATTATTCATACTGTATGTACTGTACATGTCTTTCACTGTCAATTATTATTTTTTTGATTATCCGGCTTTTTTCTTACTGGACTATTTTCATCCCCAATTAGTCCAGAAAATCGAGGTTCTACTGTATTTTAAAAATTATAAAACGCTTTTGTGTCTTCAGACAAAACAAACATGTTCATCTTTCCATATGAAACTTAAAGATAATTCAAAAATATTAATTGTATAAAAAAAATTGAATTTGAAAAGATATATAAACAGTAAATATGAAAGAGAATGCAAAATCCTGCCTACAAAATGCACCAGGAGCAGAGGCTGCAAGAAGTATAAAAAATCATACTGACTGCTTAAAAAAGAATCCTGACTTTTATGTCTTGATGGAAGTTGCAAAAATCTTGAATGGACATAACTATGAAAAACTCACAATCCAAAATTTATAAATCCTGATTTAATAGCTGCATACAAATATGCATCATTGACTACAAGCAATGTTAAAAGATCATTTTCCTCTTACAAACAAATCTTTGGAAATAGACTGAAAACCACAACAAACAGTTATTAGTAGCATACCGCCAATCATAATTCCATAAGCCAGAAGCAAAATTTGTATTAAGAGTACAATTAATAATTTTATACATTTCTTTCTTTAATAAAAGATTGATTTTGAGAAAGTGAGAGCATTAATTCTCCAGTTTAAATGCACATTTCAGCACTTTTAACTGTATATTTGCATGTGTATTTCAATGTATTTTAGTGCATATAAATCTTCACCTTACTTATAACATAGCAAAACTATTATTTAATTATACTAGATAGAATCACAATGCAAATTGTTGCATGTGAATATGAATGTTTTAATCACATAAATAACAATTTAAAATTTAGATAATACCAATTCAGTCTCATAAATGAGAGATAAATAGTTATCTACAATTATAAATGTCTATGCATTTATTGTCACTTTTATATGAAAATTATTGTGCCAATTATTTGCTCATCCCTTTGCCCAAACTCATCATCATGATGCACATGCACCAATTATGATAAGTGTTTCAGTGTCCTTCTAGAATCTCCTAGAACCCACATTAGAGGTTACTGACCATCACAATAATTAAGAACTTTAAAAGATATTTTTTCACTATTATAACTTCACATACAGTATTTATTAAAGTACATTCTAAAATCCTTATATCTAATTTTTCTTAAAAACAATTTATTCTAATATTAATTATTCATAATATAATAATAAAAACTAATTCAAAATATTTTTAAAGCAAAACTATAGAATATATTCAAACCAAAATTACTTTTGGTTTTGAATTGATTAATCACAACATCATATATAATAAATAAAACATTACCAAAAGATCTGACAAAACACATTGAAGGAAGCCTGTGCCATCTCGAAGTGTGACAAACATTAAAACTTTTCCTGTTTAAAATGAATTATAATTAACAAAATTGAAGTATTTTTTTAATAAAAAAAAATTATATTATTATTTTTTTAAATACATAAATAACAAATATATATAGCATTAGGCTGAGACAAAAATAATAAAATGCTTATGTTATATCTAAAATAAAATATCATGTTTTAATTAAATCTGAATTATGTAAGTTTGAACTAGTGAACAATAAATACTAATAAACTCTCACTTTATGTGCAGAAAGTTAAACCCCAAAAAATCCCTAATCCCTAAAAACTAAGCAAAAGAATCCTATATGTACTGGGTGGTCATATTTAACCTTTCTCCATTATTAAGGTCAAATAGCATAAGCACCAAATTTGAAAGTGCACTAAAGAAAGTTAAGCACACAAAAACATCCAAAAGTTGTGCAAAATGCAAAAAAACCAAGTGTAGGATTGTGCAAAGCCAAAAAAATATCTGTATTTTGTTATGTAATATTTAATTCAAAATGGAAATTACATGGTTACAAACTATAACATAAATAATTTTTATTTGTTTTATAAACCACTATTTGCATCATTCAACCAACTGTGCTGTGTCAATTATTTAAAGTAAAAACAAAATTCATGATATATGACTGATATTTCTTTTTAAATAAATGGGGCATTTTTATACTGTTTACTGATTATAGTGAGTGACAGTTTTTCCCACTGCCCAAAATTCCAAGTTAATGCCTGGGTTTTCAGATGAGTGGATACCCTGTTATAACATAAAAAATATGTTATATAAATATTTATTTAAGTAAATTTTTGCTGATATATTCAAAAAACAAAACTTTAACAAACTAATCATCTTCTAAATTATTGATCTATTATAAAACTTTACTATATTAATTATGTATGCATGCATTTTTTATAAAATTTTACTTTATCTTTGTTTAAAAAATAAATTACATATTTAATGATAAAATTGCAAATTGTGCCAATCTAATTCAATATGATAAACTCATTATTAAATAAATAATATAGTTTGATAATCTACAGCATAATATAACAACCAACACTTTCCATAATACAGTAAAACCTCACTTCTGTGATCATATGAATGGAAATAAATGTCACTTTAGGATACTCCTATCTTGGCAGCTTAAGTGAAATGGTCACTTAAAATTAGATGGCAGTGGTCCCAAAATGGGGTTTGATTTATAATGCAGTTTTACAGGGAAATTCCCTGAATGGCACAAAGTGAAGTTTTACCGTATATTGTAGTGACATAGAATTGAATAAACTGAGCACACAAATCAANAAAAAAAAAAAAAAAAAAGGCTCATGCACCATGTTTCTTATTATAAAGAAAACAGTTACCTTTCAGATTGTCTAGTATTCAATTGTTTCATGAGAGTGCCTTGTTTCCCATAAGTAAGCATCTGTTCCCCTTTCCACTAAGATAAAACATTGTCTCACTGATAAAAACTAAGTGATCAGCAAATTGTGATCTTTCATGTTCAGTTACATATCATGGTTTCATGTTTAACCTGCAGTATAACTTCCAGATGGTACTCTGTGATATCTGTAGCTTCTTGCTTGTTCATTGCATGATTTTCTAGGCCTGCACTCTTAGATCTTCCTCACATTCTCCACAATCCATACTGGAAAAAGTACCCGGCTTGGAGTTTTGTTCTTGTAAATACAACCCTTCATTTTATATCATCAATATCACTAACTGATGGAAGACATGGGTAGTGGGTTACTGCCAAATTTGGACAGAAATATCACTACATTGTCATACATGATCAAAACTTGGAAATTGTACAAGCAGAGAGCTTTCTGCACTGCAGTAATTGCCATCTTCCACATAGCTACATCTGCCAGATTACCATGACAATAATTATATCACAGATTATTTGAAACAAAACTTGGAGAGTTACTCTATCACCAGGTATAGGTTAGACATCTCCATGGCCACTGATTTAGCTCACAATGGCCACATAAAATCAGAGCATTCTGTCTGAGTTAACCTGTACTTATATTTAGATCAATCTGTAACCTGAATTTAGATCAATGCTTTCTTATGGCATATATCTAATTACAACTTATAACTAGATGCAAAACATAATAGTATCTGGTAACTAAGTAGAGCACACTGATACATAATTTTGTAATGTAAATAATAAAAAGTTTCAAATATATTTTATTAGTTTGAAAACTTTTGGTTTTTGTTAATCTAACAAATGATAGTAGAATCTTCTTACTGCAATCATAAATAATGTTATCAAAATTAGCAAGTCCCATGTTGCTTATTGTAATCAGAATGTAGTCATAATTATCATGAATAAAAATTGAAGTAAAAAAATAAATTAATTATTATTTATTTTTTGACTTCAATTTTTATTCATAATAATCATTTNTTAGGCTGAGACAAAAATAATAAAATGCTTATGTTATATCTAAAATAAAATATCATGTTTTAATTAAATCTGAATTATGTAAGTTTGAACTAGTGAACAATAAATACTAATAAACTCTCACTTTATGTGCAGAAAGTTAAACCCCAAAAAATCCCTAATCCCTAAAAACTAAGCAAAAGAATCCTATATGTACTGGGTGGTCATATTTAACCTTTCTCCATTATTAAGGTCAAATAGCATAAGCACCAAATTTGAAAGTGCACTAAAGAAAGTTAAGCACACAAAAACATCCAAAAGTTGTGCAAAATGCAAAAAAACCAAGTGTAGGATTGTGCAAAGCCAAAAAAATATCTGTATTTTGTTATGTAATATTTAATTCAAAATGGAAATTACATGGTTACAAACTATAACATAAATAATTTTTATTTGTTTTATAAACCACTATTTGCATCATTCAACCAACTGTGCTGTGTCAATTATTTAAAGTAAAAACAAAATTCATGATATATGACTGATATTTCTTTTTAAATAAATGGGGCATTTTTATACTGTTTACTGATTATAGTGAGTGACAGTTTTTCCCACTGCCCAAAATTCCAAGTTAATGCCTGGTTTTTCAGATGAGTGGATACCCTGTTATAACATAAAAAATATGTTATATAAATATTTATTTAAGTAAATTTTTGCTGATATATTCAAAAAACAAAACTTTAACAAACTAATCATCTTCTAAATTATTGATCTATTATAAAACTTTACTATATTAATTATGTATGCATGCATTTTTTATAAAATTTTACTTTATCTTTGTTTAAAAAATAAATTACATATTTAATGATAAAATTGCAAATTGTGCCAATCTAATTCAATATGATAAACTCATTATTAAATAAATAATATAGTTTGATAATCTACAGCATAATATAACAACCAACACTTTCCATAATACAGTAAAACCTCACTTCTGTGATCATATGAATGGAAATAAATGTCACTTTAGGATACTCCTATCTTGGCAGCTTAAGTGAAATGGTCACTTAAAATTAGATGGCAGTGGTCCCAAAATGGGGTTTGATTTATAATGCAGTTTTACAGGGAAATTCCCTGAATGGCACAAAGTGAAGTTTTACCGTATATTGTAGTGACATAGAATTGAATAAACTGAGCACACAAATCAAATTTTGTTCAAAACTAATGAAAAAAATTTGTATCAATATGAAATACAAAATAAAAATATTTTTAAAAATAGAATTTCATATATTATTCATTCTTTTACAATTAAGGCTATAAAAATTGTATTAAAATAAAAAAATTATATGTATGAAAAATCTAATTCTAAAAAATGTAAAATTAATTTCAGGTTCATTTAGTGACTGATTGTTAATAACCAGATTATACCTTTCAAGATAAACTAAGATGTAAGCCAAACATCCAACCAAAAAAAGAAATAAGGTAAATTGCACAAGTTTTAACATGCGACTAAGATATAATCTTAAATCAAACATATTTTTCTGTATGAGTTTAATTGAAAATGAGATTTTATGTAAAACAAAAAAAGTGAGAGAGATAATTCAAGAAATCCAAATTTTTCTAATGTTAACTCTAATGTACAATTCATGGCCAAATAGGAAATGGTAATCAGGCAATGAATCAAATTTCACAAAAACAACCAAATATTTAAACTTGGTACACTTGAAAACCCATAAAAACATATTTTGTGCTTGCTGATAACTTTGTATTAAGTAATTATCCTATTCATCCTGCTGGTCAGATAGAAAGGACAGCCTGTTGCAGGCAGGGAGTTAAAATTGATTTAATCAAAAGTAATTGACCTCCTCCTGGATGAGAGGATAGTCCCAGAAAAATTTCATTATATTTGTTTAAACCATATTGAAATGTTTAAAGAATAAACTGACAAACTAAATAAAAAATGTTATTCTTCATATATTAAATTATTTTATCAAAAATTTATGACTTTTCAAAGTCAAAAATTATTGAAATAAACAATATTGGAATGCCCTATTTACTTTCATTCAATTTGTTCTTTTTATAATTTCCTATATATATTGTTTAACCTTTTCTCATGGTTATCAATTTTCAAAATTCGTTCTTTTTAGTCGTTACAATATTAATAAATTGCAATATCTCACTTAAAACAGGCTACAATTGATCTGTTTTTTTATCACAAACATATCATTCTTTGTGATTTAAATTAAATTTAATACATAATACAAATTTAAAATACCGTATTTTTCGCCGTATAAGACGCACCGGCATATAAGACGCACCCAATTTTAAAGGAGGCAAATTCAGAAAAAAAAAGATTATGAACCAAATTCTGTAGTAAAATATTTTATATCAACTGTATAAAGTTAACAGCAGTTAAGAAAAATTTTATGTCAACCATGTAACATACTAAGAGCTATCTTTACTATCATAAACAGTCTCTTCTGCTTTGACATCTTGATGGGGTGGTATGAAATATGATATATTTCATTCAGATATACCATACTACATATATCACTGCTATTAGCTGAGCGCAGAGACGAGTGCCTTCACCCGCTCCCGTGCTGGCTTACGAGACTCTAAAAAGTGCACAAAGCCAGCGCGGGAGAGAGCGAAGGCACGTGCCTCTTCGCCCAGCCAATCGCAGCGCGAGGCAAAGACCGCACAAAGCCAGTGCGAGGCAGAGCGGAGCTTCCTGGTATCAGACGGCGCCAAGAGGTGGAAGGGAACGGAGTGGCCGAGTATTCCTGCGGTTATGTATGTATGCAGAAGTGGAGGGGCAGCGGAGGGCCATGGTGGGCTTTTGTATTTGCCGTATAAGACGCAGGCACTTTTTTCCCCCCGATTTTGGAGAGAAAAAGTGCGTCTTATACGGCGAAAAATACGGTAATTTTTTAATGTTAAATTATCAAGCAAAAGAATTATTTAAAAAAATTAAAAAATATCCTATTAATTTGCAACATTTATAAATGTAGAGGCATCTATTTTCTTTCAAACAAAACAAACTGCACATCTCTAGACCCAGGGTCAAAAGTTATTAAATCATAAGAATAAGATTTGTGTGAATAGTTAGATATTGATGATAAATAACCATCAAAGTAATATTAAGCATTATAACTGAGCAAACTTTTTATATTAAATATAAAAAGAATGAAAACTTCATTTCATTAAATACAAAATAAAAAGAAAATTAAAAAATTATAATTATCTTTAGTATTACCTTGTCTTCTTAAACGATGAACCCATCCATAAACTTTAATCCTTTTATTACGAAAATTTGCAGTATCTCTTATTTTCACCTGAAATGCATTTTGATTAAATAAATATCTATGTATAAATATATGTATAAGTGTGCTATATGCAACATATTATGACATTATGAAATATATTTAACTATGTAATATATATTATTATCATGTATATGAAAGTTTATATATATATACCTTGATAATACTGTACAAGGTATCAACACAGACCATTCGAACTGGTCACAATTTTGCCTAGTATGGGTAGCCTGACACCCACTCACAACAGGCAAAATTACAGGCCCTAGTTGATACCTCACTTTCCTTATACATAGCTATTTAATATGTATTTTTATGTAATGATTTAGATAAATTAGGACAAACTGTTCTCTCTCAAATTTTAGCATATTTTGTATGGAGTATAGTGCAAACATTATCTACACTACAAAAATTATAGGTACATTCTGTCAAATAAATACCAGAAATTGTCCATTTCAAAAGCCTGTGTAAAAGATATGAAAACAAACTTTTTGCTGTAAGTTGGTACTAGTGTGCTTAATTGTCACGTGAATTTGTAGCACCATCTGTCGACCAGTTTATTTACAACTATTGGTTTCATCACTGAATGTGAAGTGTGCTTTTACAATTTTTAAAATGGACAAAAATATTGAACAAAGAGTTTGTCTAAAATTTTCTGTTGCCAACAAAATTTTACCCAAAACAATCCAAAGATCAGCTTTATCCAAAAGATGTGCATATGAGTGGTGCAAAACATTGAAAAATGGCCGAGAAGTGATGGAAGACTTGCCTCATTCTGCTTGACTTTCAACATCTTCAAGTGACGAAAACATCAACAAAGTGAAGGAAATGACGATGAAAACTCATCATTCAAGCTTGAGAGAGATGGCTCAGAATCTGAATAGGTCTCATGAATCCATCTGTACCATTTTAGTTGATGTTTTGGGTATGAGATGTGTCATAGCATGACTTGTTCCGAAGGAGATAATTTTCTTCAAAAAGAGCACCGGAAAAAGGTTGCTGAAGACATGATTGAACAAGCCAATTTGGACCCTACATTCATGAAACACATCATAATAGGTAATGAGATGTTGGTTTATGAGTTTGATATGCAAATCAGCCAACAATCTTCAGAATGGTGCTTCGAGAATGCACTGAAACCGAAAAAACCACATCAAAGTCATGTTGACTGTTTTCTCTGACTGTTATGGTGTTGTCCACTTGGAATTTCTTCCAGAGGGACAAACGAACAAACAGCCAATAAACAATATTACCTGGGTGTTTTGAGGCATTTGAGAGACAATGTTTGCCGGAAAAGGCCAAATTTGTGGAAGAACAATTTTTGGATGTTGCATCACAATAACACACCATCTCACATAACCCTTGTATGAAAAATTTTAACCAAAAACTCAGCGAATGTCATTGATCAAGCACCATATTCACCAGATATGGCCCTGTGTAGCTTTTCCTCTTCCCTAAACTCAAATTACCACTTCATGGAAGACATTTTGAGTTGAATGAAGAAATAAAACAAAATTTGCAGAGGGAGCTGAGAGAGAAATTTGCAGAAAGTGCTTATAAGAATTGTTTTTATGACTGGATTATTCGTTGGCAGAAGTATTTTGCATCAAACAAAGCCTATTTTGAAGGCAACAAAATAAATTTGGATGATTAAACCAATATTTAGTATTTTATTTAACAATTCCCAGTATTTATTTGACACAATGTAACTTGTATCAGTACTGCAATATTTTTCTATATACATTATAGGGATTAATTATATCATTATATAATAAAAAGGGTTGGGAGTTAATAAGTGTTGTATAACTGAGAACATTCTTCAGTTTCAGTAACTCATACTACAGTTTCCAAGTCTATTCATATAATATTAATTTAGGCTTCATTTCATAGCTTTTATTGGAAGAAAGACTTCCTGGACCAACTAATGAACTAACTTCATGAACTAACTAATACAAAGTAATTCAAAAGGATTGTTCTAATTTTACACAGCTACTGTAAGCAGAGTAATACCAATGAAAAGTCTAATCTTTATTTGATAATAGAGTAACCCTCCAAGTTTCAGACATATTTTACACAAACTCAATGTGTGTGTCTCTTTTGTGATGTGGAACACTTCTAACCAATAATCCAACTCCTCCCATATTCATTGCAAAAATCCATAGTGACAGAAGCAATTGCTTTATGTATGAATATCTTCATCTCTGGTATACTTCTTGGAAAATGAGGGATATACTGTACACTATCTTTGTTGGAGCCCCCCAATGACAGTCACAGGCCACTGGCTGAATCACTGGCTGAAGCCATGCACTTGGAATAGTAGTTGTCAGAATCAGTCAATTTGTTAACATATCCAGATAAGTTCCACTTATAATCATAGTTCTTAAAAAAAAAAAAAAAAAAGGCTCATGCACCATGTTTCTTATTATAAAGAAAACAGTTACCTTTCAGATTGTCTAGTATTCAATTGTTTCATGAGAGTGCCTTGTTTCCCATAAGTAAGCATCTGTTCCCCTTTCCACTAAGATAAAACATTGTCTCACTGATAAAAACTAAGTGATCAGCAAACTGTGATCTTTCATGTTCAGTTACATATCATGGTTTCATGTTTAACCTGCAGTATAACTTCCAGATGGTACTCTGTGATATCTGTAGCTTCTTGCTTGTTCATTGCATGATTTTCTAGGCCTGCACTCTTAGATCTTCCTCACATTCTCCACAATCCATACTGGAAAAAGTACCCGGCTTGGAGTTTTGTTCTTGTAAATACAACCCTTCATTTTATATCATCAATATCACTAACTGATGGAAGACATGGGTAGTGGGTTACTGCCAAATTTGGACAGAAATATCACTACATTGTCATACATGATCAAAACTTGGAAATTGTACAAGCAGAGAGCTTTCTGCACTGCAGTAATTGCCATCTTCCACATAGCTACATCTGCCAGATTACCATGACAATAATTATATCACAGATTATTTGAAACAAAACTTGGAGAGTTACTCTATCACCAGGTATAGGTTAGACATCTCCATGGCCACTGATTTAGCTCACAATGGCCACATAAAATCAGAGCATTCTGTCTGAGTTAACCTGTACTTATATTTAGATCAATCTGTAACCTGAATTTAGATCAATGCTTTCTTATGGCATATATCTAATTACAACTTATAACTAGATGCAAAACATAATAGTATCTGGTAACTAAGTAGAGCACACTGATACATAATTTTGTAATGTAAATAATAAAAAGTTTCAAATATATTTTATTAGTTTGAAAACTTTTGGTTTTTGTTAATCTAACAAATGATAGTAGAATCTTCTTACTGCAATCATAAATAATGTTATCAAAATTAGCAAGTCCCATGTTGCTTATTGTAATCAGAATGTAGTCATAATTATCATGAATAAAAATTGAAGTCAAAAAATAAATTAATTATTATTTATTTTTTGACTTCAATTTTTATTCATAATAATCATTTTTTCTGTAGTATTCATATTTTTAACTTCCTGTTATTATTAATTTTCTGTTTATTTATTATTATTATTCATTTATATTATTAATTTTATTAATTCTACATAAGCATATTTTTGCAAAAAGAAAAAAAATTAATTTATGTAATTAATTTAAGATTAAATTTTCAAATCCAAAATTTGGTAATTTATTAAATCTAGTTGTTCAACTACATTTCTGGCAAAACAAATTATTGTTTGATTTTTTTCTTTGCATTACTGTTGAGATTCATTCTTTACACAATTTTTTAATTTTTATAAAATATATTTACTTGAATTGCTTCTGGTAGATTCTTATCTTCTTTAATCATTATTTGCTTAGCTTCTTCTAAGTTCTTTTCTCTTCTTTCAATATCTTCTGCATCTTTTTTTGCCTTTTCTGCATTTTTATGATGTTCACGAATCCATATCTTTCTGACTTTTTTTAACTGAGATTGAGAAACAATATCCCACTGCTTTAAGAAAAATTTTTAGTTTTAGAATGCAATAAAAATTTTTGTTATTATATATATATGTGTGTGTGTATATATGTAGTTATAACTTTAAATTTCTGAATAAAAATTAAATCTATAAATCCAATTAATTATCATCAGCATTTATAATCAATAATAAACTTTAATAATCTTTCAATACGCTTTTATAATCATCTTTTGCTATAATCAAATTTTATTATGTCATATTTTTTTTATTAAAACTTTAATAAAGTTTTTAAACCTAAATCTGTATAAATTATGGATAATCATATTTATATGAATTTATTTACTTCCTTACACTGAATTATTAAAATAAAATTACAATAATAGACTTCTTTCTATTAGATTACAATTTAATTTAATTTTCAAAAATTCATTATAAAAATAAAACTGTTATTAAAATGTAAATTTCTGAAGGTGAATTAAATTTATAAGCAAGCACATAAATTAAATTTATTCCCAAAATATTGAATACTATAATGACTTCTATAAAACAAGATATTTTTATTCTCAGACACAATTAAATTGAGAAATTTAAAATCAAATTTGATTTTGCTTATGTTTATTATTATATTTAGATATAAAATCTTATAATAAAGATAAGTATTTGATTTAATAATTTATTTATATTTATAGATAATATACCTTATCATCACTTTTACCATCAACATAAATGGTAGGAAATGGTTCTTTTCCTGCACACCTTAGTGCCTATAAAGTACAAAAAGTTCTGTAAGAATAATTCAATATTAAAAGTTTCTTGATAATCTTAAATATTTTTGTTAAATACAAAAGAAAACTTTTCAAAGATAAATATTTAACTTAATTTTATTCAATTGCTCTAATATATGCCAAAAAAAATTTTTTATTTTTTACATTTTTTAATCAAGGACTTTTTATCTAATTTTTTTAAAACCTGAACACAAGTTTGGAAAAATGTGTGATCACAAGCAATGCTTAGGGTCAGGTACACTCTGTAACAAAACCGTATGACTGTACCATATTTGGTAAGAAAAGTTTGGATCAACCAAACTTATGGTAGGGATACAGCAAATTGACGAACTGCTAAATCAGTCGCTATACAATCAGAAGTTGTACCGAAAGTAACAAATTAGTTGAAACATACCTTTTGACCAACAATGATACCAACAATGATAAAATTTTCAGATAAGAGTTACTTTGGTCATAAAAAATAGAAAAATGATAAAATGAATAAATTATTATAGTGTTAGATCTGACAACATCAGTGATGATTTTGTGCATTCTCACAATAGACTGCTTCGTAAGCTGTAAAAAAGTTTCTTTCTTAAAGGATATGGAAACAGCCTTACGGTATTTTATAACTATTGCTATAGATATCCAGTGTAGCAAACATTTATGAATATGGATAGGGTTATGTTATGGAGTTTATAACTCGACCCTAAGATGCTGAGTGCTAAACACAGACTGATGGAGCATATGCACAATATGGGACTTCCTTTCTCCTGGTCACTCATTATGCAAAACATTGTTATTAAGAGAGTAATTTTTTCACAATTTGTTTTGCTCATTATGCAAGGTGCTCATTAAGTGAAGTTCCACTGTATTTTAAAAGCGAAAATGAAGCATTCTTTATTTTGTTTCTGAGCAGCTCAGTCATTTATTACATTGCTACCTAGTTACATGGCTATGTGCTTGCAGTAAGGATGACTTAGCCTCATTTACTGAACCATGATTTTGATTTTAAATAAACCAACATCAAGCTTTAAAAAGAACAGAAAAATAAAATTGTTTTATTTTAAAACTTTTTTTTCACACTATTTAATGGATAAATTTTCATGTCAGCTCAAATTTAAACAAAATATTCATTTGTTCCCACAATGAAAATTTGTAAATTAATAAATTGCATATAAATTTTTTTCTGAATTGTCTTGAATAATTAGCTAAAAAGAAGTTTTATCATCATTTTATACAGATTATACATTATATATATATATATATATATACACANAAATAATAAAGTAAAAAGAACATTAAAGAAATTACAACATAAATTAAAATTATGAAAAAATAATAATTGCACATGCGTATGTAATGATGTACACTTAATGGAATGAATACAAAAAGATAGGGATATAAAAATATAAAAAATAAAATAAAAATAAAAAGCTCAACAGTTCTGCATTTTACAATATTAAATTATTTGCTGGAATATTTAAAAAGGTGATAATTTGTTTATTTTTTTCTAGTTCCAGTATAAGTTAATATTTTTATTAAATAATTTTTTAAAAACTGCACAACTATGTCATCATCATAAAGAAATTTTGCATTTCTTGAAAGTCATGCCGGTCATACATCTAACTCCTTTCAAGGGAAATTTTTGAATTGAAATAACATGATTTCCAATTTGCATCAGAAGTTTGTTTATAGTTAAATGGGGCCTCATGCCTCTAATCTTTCCATATTTGGTCTCAGCTTTCATCTATCTAACTCTGTTCTCAAGGTTATGGAAGGACAGACAGACTAGCAGATGAACAACAGTGGAAATTTATAGGTTTACAATTTTTTTCAAACTGCAGCCCAATAATCATAATTAAAGTATCTTTATTAAATATTCTTTTCTGTAATTCAGACTAGGATTAGCCATACTAACTAATAAAATGTTAAAGGAAAAATACATATATATTGTCAACAAAAAATAATCCATACTATAAATTTAACAGTGGAAAAAATGCACTTTCTTAAGATAATTTAACTTTTTTTTTATCAAGTAATTTATCAGTAACTATTTTTAAAACTAATTTTATATATTACATAATTTAAACAATTCTAAAATTAAAATCTGAACATAATTACAGAATTTTTACTGATTATTCTGTGATGCATATACATTAAGAAAATTATTATCACACAAATGATGTTTTACCAAATATTAATATAGTGTGAGAGCCCCAATTTTATTTTTGATTAAACTTTTACACAATTATATAAATCCAAGAAAATTAACAATTAAAATTTATATTAAATGCAAAGAAAATTGTATAAAAAAATTTTCCCAACAATTAATAAAAAGATGGAATGATATGATTGTGTTTTCACACCGGATTCACTTCCTTTAGAAGGTGACACATCTTCTGAATGTGTCACCCAGAACTTTCACCAAAATTCATCTATTGGCCACAACCTATAACATTTCCAAAAAAGGACAAGAAGAATCATGAATAAGACCCCCCAATAAAAGGGAGGGACCGATGACAATCGGGGTCATCATCACGAGAAGTTCATCCTCACCAGAGTCACCCCTCGCTCGGATACCTCCGTGATCTTCCTCTATCAAAGTGAACTCCATCTTCCATCTAACAGTAAACTCCATTCATCCGGCATTGTAAGGTATCTATATAATTTATATGTAAACTGTCTCTCTCTAAGTTTGAACTAGCAGACTTGTTAATATTGAGGCCAAAACTTGCTTGAATAAAAATTTCGTAGTTATCATAAATAAACAGACTTTGTTATTGTTTAATTTGAGGTTTGTGCATTTCTTAAAAAATGCATTGTCTATTATGTCGCCTCCTTCCTGATCTGACTGCCCTTAACATGTGACTGCTATCTCAATTTTATGTCGTTTCGAACATAGTGGTGTCAACCTGACGTGGTGCCAACCTTCCAGTCACAATAGTACAAACAATTATAAAGTTTTAAATAAACATTTTAATAATTATTATTGTATGAATCATATTAATATAATTTACAAATGAGAAATAATTATTGAATTATTTGTCATTTGTAAATTAGATTACATGCAAGTTAGTACATGAAAATGATATCTTACAAATTAGATAATATAAATTAATTTTAATTTAATCATTAAACAAATAGCTTAAAATGCCCACCTGAAGAACAGTTTTAAATGGATTATTTTCTGATCCATCACCTTTTTCATCATGGCCAAATTTTTCAGATGTATATAGCTCTTCTAAAAGATAAAAATGCAATTTTGTAAAAACATAAAAGAATATAATTAACATTTAAACTTTCAATCTAGAAATATTTAAGTTTCATTTTAAATCTATAACTATTGGAAATAAAGGCACTTCAATTTATAGAAGTATCACATTGTACAAAACATCATCTTGACATAATCAATTTAAGGTATTTAAAATAGAATTTCAAAAACAAAATTTTTTTAATACAGAGAAACCTTCATTAGTGGACACCTGTACTTAAAAGACATTTTTACAATCCCCAGACCCTTCAACTATGACATTGATAATATTTATCTCTAAATAGTGGATGGAATGCTGTCATTCATAATCAACCTTATGAAAATGCAATGTCCCGCCTTCAATATTCTGAAAGAATTAATTACATACAAAATATTTTAAAATGAAAACAAAGAATCAACTCAAATACTCTTTCAGATGATGAATTTTGACCGTACACATCAAATAAAGACTGGCTTAAAACAGGAATAGGGGAGGAGGGCTGGTTATCAGAAGGTGAACAACATTCTTTATCTGTTAGAGAAATTTAATCTGGTTAAATTGTCAATCACCATTTATCATTATACATATTAATGTTATTAAACTTTTGTCTTATTGTTGGGATTAAGCTTATGATACCAAAAAATTATAAACTTTTCCAAAGTTATTCATTCATTTGAGAAGAACCACAGTATAAAAGAAACTTAACAATCATAAATGGCGTCATAAATGCGAGAAAACTGAATATCTTCCCACACTTTAAAGTGGTCAGCAAATTGTCTTCGTAACATGACCTTTGAACTTTCACCAAACAAATGTTGTTGTTGTAACCATTTTTAAAGCATTGTGGTGGCTAAAGTGTAATTTTTAATAAATCAATTACTGAAAAAAGCAAAAATGTTCGAAAAGTTACACCTACTTGATAACTACAAAGCAGACAAATCCCTGTATCAATTTTTATTAGTGGACATTCAAATGAGATTCAATTAAAACAAGATTTTTATAGCTTAAAAAATAAATAAAATATTGTATATATATTTTAATAATTATATATGCTACGTATACTTTTCAGTATATTCACATTCCTAACACAAATTTGATGTTTTCATAATCCATCATATTCTTCACTACATGATGACCAAGTTAGGATACAGTATAGCTGCCATAATGCACCTCTGAATAGTGGACAAACTTCTTGGTCCCAACGGCGTCCGCTCGCTATTCAGAGATTATACTGTATTTACTTGTAAGCCTTCATCTTATATTTTGTCTTTCCACCAGATAGCACTAGTGGATTGCTTCCAATAGGAACAAAACACCTTACCTTGTCTCCTGGTTGGAAACAAAAGTGAAAGTTTGAATTTTGTAAAATGTGGCTTTATATGAGAGGTCTACAGAATAAGACTGGTTTATTGCAGACACTATAGGCTGTGATACACCAGGTGATTTATCACCTGGGAGACAGGTGATAAATCACCTGGTGTCAACAGGTTTTTGTCACTTGTTTCCAAGTGACAAAAACCTGTTGACGTATGCTGATATTCAGACACAAGAGGAGACAAGTTGCCGGAGTCATAAAATCGACATTTCTACCCAGTAATCGTAAATTTTCGCTAACAGCACAAAAGCATGTATCTTTGAGTACCTTGTCATAATATTCTTTAATAGTGTGGTTATAGTGTAAATTGGTTCTTAACCACATTATTAAATTAAACATTGTGTCCCATTAATCATCGACAAGCAACTATCCTCCATTTTTATTTGTGTGGTTTAAACAAGAGGTCGCCGTGAGCCTCTTGTGTGGTGAAATTGCTGCTCACATTACGGTATCTTGTTTTTTTATAATTGGTGTAACCAATGATAATAGATGTAAATACGTTTCTTCGTTCATTCTTAAATAGTTGTGCCAATCTTCAGGTACTAACTTCAATTCTGAGATCAGGTTCACATGGGAATACGATCCTCTTTTTTTAAGCCACTCTTTACATCATAGACGTCTACGCATATGTTTTTTCTTGTGAGTTTTAATAGAATTATTTATTGCCAATAGATATCCAAGAACAGCCAGTATGTCGTCATCAGATGCCATGGCTGATTGACTGACTGACTGACTGAGAGACAATGGCGTAGCAAACATAACTGGTGCCCGAGGTACGACACTATATTGACGACCCCCTCCCTCGCCCCTCCCCTCCAGAAACAAACCTTGTTTTCTTGGAAAACATTTGGCACCCCTCTGCTAGTGGTGCCCGGGGCACGTGCCCTACTTACCCCACCCTAGCTACGGTTCTGTTGAAAGCTTTTCTTCATTTGTGGGCGATAAGAAATTCTGAAGTTCTTCAAGGTCAAACAGTTTCAAAGGATTAACTTAACATGTATAGCCGCCTTAAGAGGCAAGGGGGAGGTGTGAAATACATACTATGTTTAGACAGGTAAGAAAAGCCACAATTTAATTGAAGAAAAGGTACTTACATTTTAAACAGAAGAAAAATTGAAACTCAACGTTGTGACTTTCGGAGACCACCACTTCACCCTTCCTCTCTCTACAGTGTCCTGACCTACTCTCTCTGTCCCTCTTCCCATCTTTCTTTTTTTCGGTTTTATGACCCTTTGTCTACATTTCTTATTCCCCTTTTACAACTGTAGGCAAATGGATTGCACATGGACCAACAAAACTGCATCTAAGGAAAGATGTGGAGGTCTGATATCACTACAGTTGCATTTGCGCATACGTTCACGTGTTGCATTCGGTTACAAGTGTAACACATTAAGTCAAGACATCGCAAGCGATTGACCAAAATTGGCTTCACAATCAACTTGTTGGCCACCCCTGCTACAAATGATTTTAGTTTTTATAAGAATTAATAAAATAATTATTACTACTTAACATAAAATAATCTTCATAAAAACAGAAAACTAGATTCTTGAATTTTTCTTCTTGGTTAGAGTAAAAATTTTAAAATCATAAAAATGCTAACAATGATCATTTTAAAATTATTGGAGTTTTTTTGATAAATATTAACTGAAACATTTTAAATTTTTCAAAAATAATTTTGTTTTCATTTGCATGTAGATTTAATGATAATAAAATATATGTAAATAAGATAGAAATAATTCATTAACTTTATTTAATATTTAAATATTTAAATCATATATTTTGTAAAGATTATATATATCATCAATCTTTACAGATTCCAGTATATTTTAAAGATTATTATTTTGCTAATAGACAACAACCTACTAATGTAAAACATGAATCATCAACTAGATGTTTATGTATCTATGATAAAATCTGAATAATTGATAGTTCAGGTTACATTATAAATTTGATTTAGCAGGTCAAATCCAACATTATGATAATGTTTTAGGAACTAAATCCATTTCTAAATATAGGAGTAATCTATGTCAGACAACAAATATATTTTTTTAAGATAATCTACAAATAATTTATTTACATATAATTTTGAAAATGACAATCTACTTCATTATTATTAAACATAAACATCACAATATACCTAATTCACTCCTTTTTCTTAACTACAAAGTAGAAATTATACCAGACTCTTCCAAAAACAATTAAATAGCAAGAAGTAAAATTCCTATCTAATGAACTTTATTTTTTATAACTTTATTGTATGGATATTCTGATAAGGAAATACTCATCAATAGTAGTTAACAAATATTTATAATTTAAACTCCTAACAGGAAATTTGATAAATTTTTGCTTATTACAAATATTTTTGAGTACCATCTATTAATTTGACTTCAAAAATATTTGTAATATGTAATAGTTTTTTTAGTAAATTTTTTAAACCTTTCAATTAGAATATCAATAAATATGTGGTATTGGATATCTGGTATTTGTATTAATGTTGATAAAATAAAATTATATCAACATTAATATCAATACCAGAAATTTTCTATGTAAAGTATTAAATACAATATTCTTTCTGAATATTCAACATTGCCTAAACTTTCTCAGGAACTATATTAATAAGAAACTTCTGATTTCTTTTCAGAGTTTTCATAATTTTGTAATTTCAAATAATATATTTAACACATAAAAATGAAATATTAAAAATTAAACAAATATTAGATTAAAAAAGAAGTATTATAGAAGCTATAGATTTTTAAGAAAATAGCAATAGCTTAATTAATTTTTTTACAAAATCTTATTGACAAATACAATATTAATAAATTTGAATAATTATTTATATAAACAATTATTAATTTGAAATTTTAATTATAAATTTAAAATTTGTTAAAACTATTCTGTATTACTTTAATAAAACCAAATTACTGTAAATAAAAGCATTCGATTAAATAAGTTTATTTATATTGAATTTAAATTATGAAATTATAACTAAAAACTGTTTTACTGTTGTTATATTTAACACTAATAAAACAATTCTTAGTTTTACTTTTACATTTGTTGTGGTCAGTATAAAAAATATAGTATATAGTTAAAAATTTCGTTAGCCTAATTTCCTTTCTCATTTAAAACAGTCATAATAATTGAACAATTTTTATAGCTATATTTGATTTTAACCAAGATCTGAGAATCTACATTTTATTTTATATACTATGATATATAAATATAATCTTTATCTCCATATTTAAAAGTTACATTAAGAAACTACTTTTTGGAGAACTGACCTGAGAAAAACACGCTCAAATACTTTCAAGCCAGTCAAGCTCATCTTAGGGCCACAGAGGTCACCAAGGAATTCAATATTCTGTTTCCATAACCTTTTGCTCTATTTTTCACTTCTTAAAATTTAAATTATTCTAAACTGTTAATGCAAACAAATTCTAGAATGTCCTCTTTCAGCATCACTCTTTTCATCAAAGTATTTCTTTTCCTTTTTCTCTTCATTTTTGTTTCAACTGATTACCCATTTCAAGCTGTTGATAATGCAACGCCATCTCTAATGTTAATTAATTCTGAATCTTGTCTTTTCTTTCAAATCCATACACACTAAATTTGGAACCTGTTATCGGTGTACAGGTTCCGAATTTAGTATTTCACTCCCAGTGTCAAGAAGTTGAGTTTTCTTATTTAAATCCACACATTTTTAGCTGTCTCTAGGCTATATTTTTCCCTTCCCCTATTTCCTGTAATAAGCTTGCATCCTTCCAATTAATTCCTTGTCTCTTATCTAATGCTATTTCTGTTCAAGTTTGTTGTTCTGCCTTTTACACAGTCATCTAAATATTCCTTAAGTTTGTTGTTCACTGTTCTCCTCATTGCTATTAAATACTTGCTTTTACGATTTTTCTTCTATTTATATTATATATACTACTGATTTCTAATTATGTTTCTAGTTTTCTTTTCAACAGGCAAGCATTAAGTATCATCTCTTACTAAAATCAGTAATTATGATTAAATTAATATTTTAATAACTAATAATAGTAGTAATAATAGAGTCCAATATAATCCAGCAATCATTTGGCTTTAATGTATAACTATTGGGTTTTGGATATTTATGTAAATATCAAATTCTTTGTTGATTTATTCAAAACTGAAGATTGCACACGTAAGATGGCCCCTTAAGATGAGCTTGACTGGATCGAAAATTCTTGGGCCTTAGTAAATAAACTGTTTTCCAGGACATGCAAAAAACTTAGGAACCTGTAGTGATTCCTGTAATGTAATAGGAGAGAGATCTTTCTCTGTTTTAAAATGAGTTAAAAATTATTTAAGAAATTCAATAAGACAGAAATTTTATAATTATAAAATATTTATAATTATAATGTTTTTACCCAAATTAATAAATTTCCATAATCAATTAATTAGTACAATAACCATTGGCATATAAATACAGTGGGTGATCAGATAATGAACACTTTCATGAAAGATTTTTATGTTCAAATAACAAACATACATTCAGATAATGAACACTTCACAGAACAAACACAAAAAGAAGTGATGTAAAATAATGAATATCAATTGGTCTTCCCTTGTCTTCAGGCAACAATTCAAAACTTTTCGGAGCATGGGAGATGTCAATATCAATGCTCAACCCGGTATATACTGATTGGATAGTATTCCTCTGAACTTTGAAACTCTCCTTTGTAATTCCAGCCTTTTATTTTTCTGACAGAAACAATTCTTTTATAGTATTTGTGAGACCGTTGAGTAGGCACTTGTTAAGTTTTGCATTGGTTTTTATTTTTGAAAAATGAGAGTATAGGCCTAATAGCAAAGGTAGAGTCTGATGTTGCTGGGCAGTATGGCTTTAACAGGTTTACAGTAGGCCACAGTTCAATCTTATCTAAGAAAGATACAGTATAATCAAGAAGACTCAAGCAGCTAAAGGAGTAACAAAAATCACATCTGAGAAATAAAGAACATTGAAGAGCTCATAATGGAACCTGAAACTGATCTGATGACAAAAGAACACCAAGAACCCTTGAATGAAGAACACCAATAAACTTAGCAAGATATGTTTTCTTCTGAAAAAGAGGATTAATGCCAATATCTGCAATTAAACATCTTTTGAAGAAGTGAGAGGATGTTAGAACAATGGTCTTAGAATGACATCCAAATCAGGTTGAGATTAATAGGCTTGAGGATCTTTACAATTACAATGCTATTAATTACTTCTGAAAAATCCTGAAGAAGAGAGAAAAGCAATCGACATTAGACAGATTCTTTAACCCCCAAAAACAGAAAAGCACGACTAATAAAAATGCAAGACTGTGTGTATATGTATTTTTATTATTACATATAAATAAACATAGTAACAAATTTATGCAATTCTTTTACTCCTTTTTTTCTAACTACTCTTTTCTAAATTTCTCTTAGCATTTTCATCTTTGACAACTTAATCCCTTACTTCACTACTTCCTTCTATGAGGCTAAGTCAAATTCATTAATGGACAGCCTCCTAATTTCTGTATAAAATAAAATAAACATAGTAAGTATATATTTTTTATTTTTTGGGGTCTCCAGAACGAATTAATCAAATTTCCATAAAAACCTATGGTAAATCGATAATCAGTTAACAAACAATTCAGATAGCGAACAAAGTCCTGGAACAAATTATGTTCATTAACCAATCACCCACCATAACAGAAAAAGTTTAAGTCATAGCAGATTTTAAAATTGATTATGTAATGGAGTTTGACAAATTTGCATAGTACAATTATGGCTGATATCAAAAATCAAAATCAAGTTACATTAGAAAATGCAACATAAGCAATACATAAATGTAATTGCATCATTTCATGACTTATTATAAACAAATTATCTTCTCTTGTATATTATATATTGGAAGCCTTATCTAAAAAATTTATATATGATCAATAACTACAGCTCTGTTCATTAACTGTTACCAAACTCAAGATGTTTAAGAGTTTGTATCAGATCAGGATTTCTTTCCCAATGAGCCCTTTTGCCATTTGGTCTTTTTTTTTTGAACAAATGAAATATGTAGAATGTTTCTATGTTAATAAAAACAGTCTTAAAGATTATTTCCTGTTAGTAAAAATAACATTAATTTTATAGGTGTAGGAATTATAATGGACCCTAAGTTTTCTGCAGGCCCAGGAAAATCCCAATTTCTTCTTTCAATGGATCTGACCAAACTTGTAATAATAAACAATAATTTCAGCCTACATTTTCATTCTGGGAACATATCTTTGTATTTCTGCTTTACAAAGGGAGTGAATTGTCTTAAGGCTGACTGGTTATGCATGCCATCTCCAGCAGATGGGGGTTAAAAATTTAATGCTTTTTCTGCGTGGAAAAGTCTTTTTCCAAAAACTCTCTGACGAAAGGGTAAATGTTCACCTAAGTAGCCCCAATGACAGCACCTCTGTTATCAAACTGACAGTCGTTTTCACTACTTTTTTAACAAAATCAATGTTTTATTTGGTATTTTTTACATAAATCACACCATCAATTGTTGACCCTTCAAGTGATATTCGTCTCCAAAGATCACTTTTTAACACGTATCAGTCTTCCAACTATCCTCCCTGTTTCACATGTAGATGTGTGCTTGCACCTTAGCACATGGGTGGGGTGAGTCCCCCTAAAACTATATAACATCAAGTATTCCACAAACAGTCAAGTGGGCTACTCCAAGCTTGCACAGTCACATGGACTAAGTTGTTAATTAAACCAATGCTGCCATTGGGGCTACATAGGGTGCGTTTACTTTTAGCTCAGATCTTGACCCTAGTGCTCTCAGCCTGTATAGTTTTTATTAGCTACCAATGAGCCTGACGTTTACTTTTCGCACCCATAATGTCATTGCTAGCATTCCTAGAGCGCTCGGTGTGATCGGAAAATTTACAACGAGCTTGGAGTTTATTCAAAGATGGTGGCATCCATTACTGTGTATACTTTTACAAGCGTGCTAGTATGACGTCAGGCTGTGCTAAGTGTCAGCTCGGCGAGCTTGGAAACTAGCAAAAAGTAAACGCACCCATAGTTGAACATCTACTGACAAAAGTAGATAGAACCAAACAATTTTTGGCATTAGAATCCTACATAATTCTTCTATTAATGTACGGTTCAGAAGTTTCAAAATCGAATTCGTTAATTTTCTACATATTTTCTACGACTTAAATTCATAGAAAATTAACGAATTCTGCTTTCAATATTCTGAACCATACGTTAATAAAAGGATTACGTGTGATTCTAACGCAAGAAACTACTATCTACTTTCACTTTCGAGAATTTTTGGAAAGACTTTCCCATAAAAAACAAAAGCATTAACTTAAAATGTTTCATTTTAATAACTGTTTCAACTAACATATTCATTAAAATGAAAATTTCCTATCCAAATTTATAAATACTTTACTGAATAGGATTTTACTTCTGTTAAAAGTTATAGGATATTGAGTAAACAGTATTAAATTCAATTTCTGTATGATGCAACTTGCCGGCAGTAATATGCAAGCCTTAATCTCATACTTTCTATTATTATTTACATAAAAATTAACTTACGTAAACTTAACAAATCGGTATTGTTCGTAATTTCACTTGTCATTTTACGAGTCTATCAACTGCAGGTTTCGCAGATCGAATTTTAAACAACAATCAACAAAACTGGATTTCTGATGTAACACACGTTGCAGACGAATGAAGTTGCCAGATATCCTATAAACTAAAAATTATGTGTTGCCAGATTTTAAAATTCGTTTTAATAATACGATAAAAATTTTAAAAAATGCTTAAATTTTAAATGTAGTTAACACTATATAATTTTTAAAAATTTTTTATTTGTTTTTTAATATTAAATGCTATTAAAAAGATACTTATTGGCAAGCCCTATGAGAGAACAGCCGGATGGCCGAGCGGTTAAGGTGGCAACCTACCGCTCTAGGGACCCGGGATAGTATCTGGACGGGTCGAAAAATTCCCAGGAATTTTTCGGGGGTGGTCCCGTCTGTATATGTCGTGCCCTGTCCCTCACCATCCGGTTACCCATTGTGGGCTTGCTAAAAGATGTCCTTCTAGTACCCCAGGGCGGAAAGAGTTTTAAAAAAAGCCCTATGAGAGAGCGTCTTGTCTCGTATCGAATAGTTACTGGCGTCTAATTACAGAACGATTCCGTAGCCGTAGTTCTGGTTTTTACCACGAGATGCCGCTAGTCTCGTGACGTTCAGATAGCGTATACCTCATACTGTACGGTGTGCTTGAAATTTTTTGTCGATATTTTAGCTTTAAAACCATACTTTATCATCGATAATTGGTTTTGAAGCATTCCCGCTACGTTGCTAAGAAATCGTTATGGAAAATATTGCGTTGGATATATTAAAAAATACTTATTGTTATTGCGATAAGCACTTCTCCTCAAAAGGAAATCTTACTAACAAGCATGTAGATTTAGAAGATAAGCAAATCCTGGTGGAGGAAAAGTCTATATTCTGTCGGAAGACTTCATGTTCTGAAGGATTTTCTACTTTCCTTCAATTACGTGAACATCTGGAGAAAGTACTGTACCTGTATAGTACATAAATTTGCCTGTGAAATTGAGAAGCTGGAATTCAAAACTATGAAGGGTAAGTAAATTCTGTTCTGAAATTTAAAAATGCTGTATTTAATTAATATATCTTAAAATAATTGTTTTCATGAATATTAACAGCTCATTCAGTAGTACTGTAATTAAAAATATTATGTACTGTATTTGACAGATTTCTACGAATGGAAAGTCACAGATAAGTTGAGAACCAACTAAAGTTAATTGTGTCGTACTGTCTAAAAATTCATGGAATTTATAAATTCTACTCGTGCGGCTCTGGCACATGGGATCATGACTACGCTCAGTTCAGAAATGTACTGTACTTACAAAAGGAAAACATTCAATAACAGATTGTGCATATGAAAATGTTGCAAATGTATAATTTTCAATAAATCTTTTTCATAAAGAAAACATCTTTCTTATGAATACTGTGGCATTTTTTCTTAGCTAACGTTCAAATGAATCATTGCAGATCTGTTAAATCAGGCTACAAAAAGTTCACTAATATTTTAGTGACGATGATAATTTGTTGATGGATTTAAACTACCAATTCAAAAGACTTTACTCAAATTACACAAGATACACTTAACTCTTGGTATTCGCTAGGGTTAGGTTGTTTAAAATTTCGTGAAAACCAAATAAGGATGCCTATGCAGAAAATTGAGTTTGGTTTTGTGGAACATTTCAAAGATAAACGTTAATTGTGAAATAAAATACTGTATTGCAAATTTTCTAATATAAAACGTTTAAATTATTTCTAAAACGCAATGAATAATTTTATTAAATAATACAAAAAAAAAAATTCGAGTAAGAGATTGAAAATTCAGCAGGAAAATCTTGAGATTAAAAGAATTTAAGAACGAAAGTCTACATATTCTGTAGAATAACTTTTATAAAATACTGTATAATTTTAAATATTTTGATAAAAATAATAAACAATAATCATCTTTTAAAGCTATAATATAAACATTGAACATTAGACAAAAGAAATTTGACGTTCAACAAACGAACAGTAGAAAATTTTGTTTGTAATAAATTAATTCTGACTGTAGTGTATTTACAACACAAAATTATGCATGTCCAGCTTCTTGACGTCACAAAGTAGCGACATCTCGTGGTAAAAAACAGAACTATGGTTACGGAATCGTTCTGTAATTAGACGCCAGTGAATAGTTGGGCATGAATTCGTAGGTGGAACATATCTGAAAAAGCTTCCAAGTTATGGAATTTTATATACTCGTATAAATTTTTAGTTTGCCAAAAAATAAATGTATTTGTTTTGAAAATGTTTTCAAAAATCACCTCTACTTCCAATATTAATGTTTTTTTTTTTTATAACGTTTGATAGAATTAACCAAGCGAGTTTTTACCTTTTTCGATATGTATATATTAGTGAGCTTGGCTAGATGGTTTCTCGGAACTGTTATGTTCCGTCGGAATTGCTTAGTCTGTTGAACTAGGTCTCTCGTCGGTTTTATATGTATAGTGTTTGTGTCTCTATTCTTAGCTTTTTGATTAATCTAATCCAAATTATTCTTGCTTAATTTGGACTCTGAGGAAAATACAGATTACTATTAAAGCTGGACATCTTCCCCGCTCTTGATTTCATTTCCTTTCATTAACTCCTAAACCCTTTGTCTGATCTGTACTAAATTTTTTATACTTGTTCTCTGGGACTCTAAAAAAAATAGTCTTTCATGAAATCTGGACCTGGTTTGATCTCCTTGACACTTCGTGATAAACATAACAACGATAGGTTAAAATAATTAAATTTTTAATATGGTTTTCATTTTAACATTTAGCCTTCTTTTTGGCCATGTAATGCCGCACATGTCTGCTAGTTACTAATAAAACAAATAATTACAAACTCTAATAAAAATATAAATTTTAAAAATATTTTTATAAATTTAAAATATCCAAAACTAATTTAATTATTCCTGTAAACTCGTGGAAAATTTTCATTTAGTTCGAGTTCAAATGTAGATAAAGAGTTCATTGTTCCGTGAAAAGCTGTATTCGTAAAAGTACAANGAAATTATAACTAAAAACTGTTTTACTGTTGTTATATTTAACACTAATAAAACAATTCTTAGTTTTACTTTTACATTTGTTGTGGTCAGTATAAAAAATATAGTATATAGTTAAAAATTTCGTTAGCCTAATTTCCTTTCTCATTTAAAACAGTCATAATAATTGAACAATTTTTATAGCTATATTTGATTTTAACCAAGATCTGAGAATCTACATTTTATTTTATATACTATGATATATAAATATAATCTTTATCTCCATATTTAAAAGTTACATTAAGAAACTACTTTTTGGAGAACTGACCTGAGAAAAACACGCTCAAATACTTTCAAGCCAGTCAAGCTCATCTTAGGGCCACAGAGGTCACCAAGGAATTCAATATTCTGTTTCCATAACCTTTTGCTCTATTTTTCACTTCTTAAAATTTAAATTATTCTAAACTGTTAATGCAAACAAATTCTAGAATGTCCTCTTTCAGCATCACTCTTTTCATCAAAGTATTTCTTTTCCTTTTTCTCTTCATTTTTGTTTCAACTGATTACCCATTTCAAGCTGTTGATAATGCAACGCCATCTCTAATGTTAATTAATTCTGAATCTTGTCTTTTCTTTCAAATCCATACACACTAAATTTGGAACCTGTTATCGGTGTACAGGTTCCGAATTTAGTATTTCACTCCCAGTGTCAAGAAGTTGAGTTTTCTTATTTAAATCCACACATTTTTAGCTGTCTCTAGGCTATATTTTTCCCTTCCCCTATTTCCTGTAATAAGCTTGCATCCTTCCAATTAATTCCTTGTCTCTTATCTAATGCTATTTCTGTTCAAGTTTGTTGTTCTGCCTTTTACACAGTCATCTAAATATTCCTTAAGTTTGTTGTTCACTGTTCTCCTCATTGCTATTAAATACTTGCTTTTACGATTTTTCTTCTATTTATATTATATATACTACTGATTTCTAATTATGTTTCTAGTTTTCTTTTCAACAGGCAAGCATTAAGTATCATCTCTTACTAAAATCAGTAATTATGATTAAATTAATATTTTAATAACTAATAATAGTAGTAATAATAGAGTCCAATATAATCCAGCAATCATTTGGCTTTAATGTATAACTATTGGGTTTTGGATATTTATGTAAATATCAAATTCTTTGTTGATTTATTCAAAACTGAAGATTGCACACGTAAGATGGCCCCTTAAGATGAGCTTGACTGGATCGAAAATTCTTGGGCCTTAGTAAATAAACTGTTTTCCAGGACATGCAAAAAACTTAGGAACCTGTAGTGATTCCTGTAATGTAATAGGAGAGAGATCTTTCTCTGTTTTAAAATGAGTTAAAAATTATTTAAGAAATTCAATAAGACAGAAATTTTATAATTATAAAATATTTATAATTATAATGTTTTTACCCAAATTAATAAATTTCCATAATCAATTAATTAGTACAATAACCATTGGCATATAAATACAGTGGGTGATCAGATAATGAACACTTTCATGAAAGATTTTTATGTTCAAATAACAAACATACATTCAGATAATGAACACTTCACAGAACAAACACAAAAAGAAGTGATGTAAAATAATGAATATCAATTGGTCTTCCCTTGTCTTCAGGCAACAATTCAAAACTTTTCGGAGCATGGGAGATGTCAATATCAATGCTCAACCCGGTATATACTGATTGGATAGTATTCCTCTGAACTTTGAAACTCTCCTTTGTAATTCCAGCCTTTTATTTTTCTGACAGAAACAATTCTTTTATAGTATTTGTGAGACCGTTGAGTAGGCACTTGTTAAGTTTTGCATTGGTTTTTATTTTTGAAAAATGAGAGTATAGGCCTAATAGCAAAGGTAGAGTCTGATGTTGCTGGGCAGTATGGCTTTAACAGGTTTACAGTAGGCCACAGTTCAATCTTATCTAAGAAAGATACAGTATAATCAAGAAGACTCAAGCAGCTAAAGGAGTAACAAAAATCACATCTGAGAAATAAAGAACATTGAAGAGCTCATAATGGAACCTGAAACTGATCTGATGACAAAAGAACACCAAGAACCCTTGAATGAAGAACACCAATAAACTTAGCAAGATATGTTTTCTTCTGAAAAAGAGGATTAATGCCA